TATAAAATTGTTTGAGCGCTTGAAAGAAATTTAATTCAAACTGAACATTTGAAAACACATTTACATGTTGTGGTTGTAGCTAAGGGCGCAGAGATACTTGTTACTATTTGTTAACTTTCGGGAAGACTCGGGTTCGAATGCTGTTAAACGCAAAATATAAATTTTGATTTTTCTTAATTACGAAAAAGTATCAATAAAGTACAGAACGAAATCATATTCAGACGAAAAAATCTCAAAAAAAAAATCGACAACTAAACCTAAAAAAATATCGATAACAAAATCGATATAAAATATCGATAAACCAATCGATAAAAATATCAATAAAAAAATCTATGAAAATATCGATAACAAACTCGATAAATAATCGATAACAAAATCGATAACAAAACCGATAACAAAATCGATAAAAATATCGATATCAAAAGCGATAATAATATCGATAAAAATATCGATAACAAAACCCATAAAAATATCGATAACAAAAGCGATAACAATATCAATAGAAAAATCGATAAAAATATTGGTAACAAAACCAATAAAAATATCGATAAAAATATCGACAACAAAATCGATAAAAATATCGGTAACAAAGTCGATTATAATATCGATAGCAAAAACGATAAAAATATCGATAACAAAACCGATAAAAATATCGATATCAAAATCGATAAAAATATCGATAACAAAATCGATAAATAATCTATAATAAAATCGATAACAAAATCGATTAAAGTGTCGATAACAAAATCGATAAAAATATCGATCATTATATCGATAAGTTCCGAAAATATCGATAGAAAAATAAATAACAAAATCGATCATTATATCGATAAGTTCCGAAAGTATCGATAACAAAATCGATAAAAATATCGATAACAAAACCGATGACAAAATCGATTAAAATGTCGATAACAAAATCGATAAAAATATCGATCATTATATCGATAAGTGAAAATATCGATAGCAAAATAAATAACAAAATCGATCATTATATCGATAAGTTCTGAAAATATCGATAACAAAATCTATAAAAATATCGATAACAAAATCGTTAGCAAAATCGATAACAAAATCGATAAAAATATCGATAACAAAACCAATAAAAATATCGATAACAAAATCGATAAAAATATCGATAACAAAATCGATAATAAAATCGATAACAAAATCGATAATAAAGAGATAACAAAATCGATAAAAATATCGATCATTATATCGATAAGTTCCAAAAATATCGATAGCAAAATCAATAACAATATCGATAAAAATTTCGATAACAAAATCGATAAAAAAACCAACAAAATATCGATTATATCGATAAGTCCCGAGAATCCCTAAAATCCCGAAATAGTTCCGAGATTGAGTCTCTGTGCCTTTATCTATATCCTTTTCTCTACAACTACCTTTATTTTAATCTTTCTTCCTCTATCTTCATCTATACTTTTATCGGTATCCTCATCCGCATCTTTTTCTTTATATTTATCTTTGTTTTTATTTTTATGTTTATCATATTCTTCATATACATATTCCCCTTCACCTTTGCACTTATACATATAAGTAAAGTGTTTAAATTTACCTTGGTCTTCATGTTTGCCTTTATCTTTACTCAACTTTGTTTTTGTGTTTATTTTTACCTTGGCCTTTATCCTTTTCTTTATCTATGTACGTCCTCACCTTTACTTTTATTCTTGGATTGGACTTTTTCTAAATGTTGTTTCACTTCGAAAAGTCTTCGCGTATTATGCATACATGTGTTCATATATGTATGTACATATATAATATGTATGTACATATGTATGTATAGACATACATAGATTACTAAAAATAGAAACAGATCCACATTAACTGCAATCAACATATGTACGTATGTATGTATTTACATATGTACACACACTGCGATTAGGTTATAAATAGCGCGCCTCTGTTTATCAAAAGCCGCATTACATACGCATACATACTTTTTGTCTCCTTCCCACACTTCCAACATATGCACGTGTTTGCAAAATGATGACGAGGTGATTTTGTATGGAAAATCATTTATGCCCATATATTTGAATAAAATAAACATATATAGAAGATATCAACCAATACTTCCCATATACCAAACGAAAGGAAAACTCTTGAATTTTTGATTAAAGAAAACAAAAACAAAATCATTCGAGCGGTTTTCGAGCATTTTGGTAATGAAAAAAATTTGCAAATTTTTTCAACAATTTTTTGCCTTAAAATGCTCAATATTTGTTAAATTTATATAAAATTTGTACCCGATAATATTTCTACTGCTCCAAAGAACCTATATCCCGAAAATGAAAGTTATATATGCCAACAATAAGTTGCTAGAGCACTTTAAAGGCTCAAAATTGACCCCAAAATAAGGCAATGTTTACCGTTGTTTTTACGACAGAAACCGAATTGGTTATTTACAAAAATGAATCTGTCGACAGGTTTGGAATTTTATCTTTGAATTTATTAGTTCTCGTGCACTAAGCGTTTTTGTGAAGCTCTAAAAATTACAACTACAACATTTGAACATAGCCCCCATACCTTAAGGTAAGACGTATTCTACGTCAAAAACAATTCAACTTAAAGAAATAACGAGATATATTTTTAATGAGGGAGAAAGGATAACTTTGTTTTAAATATAAGGTAAATTCAGAACCATTTCTACTGTAACACTAACACATGCACGTACATATGAATACCATATAACAAACATGAATAAATATTCGTCGCTTATTTGCGAGTGATGTAATTTGCTAGCAACCACAAACTCTGTCAACTTCTAAAGTCGATTATTCAAACATACATATATATATACATAGTACATATATGTATGTATATTCATGAACAATATGCGATATGCAAATAGCAAGAGGAGGTCATTGCGAAAAGCAAATGAGCACTTAGATGGAGTTACAAAGCGTAAAGTGTCATCTATCACACGTTGCATGCCACCACACAAGTTAGTAGAGAATTATATTAAAAACTTTTTTAGAAATTCATTATGGTAGGTATGTATATATGTATGTATGTAAGTATAGACATGCATACATATGTACATATATGCATGAGCGCCTGCATTCACATAAAGACAACTCGTATTGAATGTCAATACAAATGCGGCGACATGTGAATCCTCCAGAGTAATAGAGCATTTGTCGCCCTTGCTTTACTGTATTCTTACATATGCGTTCAAATTCTTACATACATATGTGCATACATATGTATGTCTATATGTACTGCTATTTTTTATAACTTTACATGTCTACCCTGCCATAGGGGATTTTCGAATGCGACAAGCCAGTCAGTGTCAATAACATTTGAGAGCGACTTACATACGTAAGTGCGCAAATGACTTAAAGAAGTGCCGAAGGATAGAAAAAATGGCAGCTTTTAACATTTTAGTAGAAGAAGCTTTAAAAATGTGTAATCAATCAATGACTTAGCAGTGTTAATTTATGCACGCGATTAAGGTAGGTTAGGTCAGACTGGCATATGGGAATGGGGAAAAAGTTTGCGTTTATTGTAAGAGTACCACAGCAATGGCTAATCGGCTTAGTCAGGCATCCAGAAAATTCCACGTTTCATGCAACACTTTTGTATTTATTTCATTCACTTTTAGCCACTTTTAGCCACTTTTACTTTGTTCGATACCTGCCCGCCAAAAAAAAAACACTGACTGCAGATTTGCAACATATCCTTCCAACATCAGATTTAAGGGATCACACGAAAATTAATCGCATTACTTTGTGTCCAACGGCTCGACATTGTCCCAATTTGGACACTGCTTCGCAATTTGGTACTGGAAATATTATAAACACACGGTCAAAAATTTGGGTTTAATTTTTAAACCGCGCTGGCACTACTGCCTTTTTTAACCTTTTATAGTCTACTTTTTAAGCCAGTCAATAGTTTTAATCAATTTTTAATATACTCTGGTTTAAATTTTAATCCAAAAAGTACGTGGTTTAAAAATCACATAAAAATGTTTCAATACTAGTTCCTAGGTTTCATAGATGTATATACCGAAATAGAAAATGTGTCGTTGATTCAAACTCAACATATGGAAGCACATTTAAATGCTTGGCTGTAGCTGAGTGTGCAAATATGCTTGATACAATTAGTTGCTACCAAGGCTGTCAGGGTTCAATCCCCATCAGACCTTTTTATTTTTTATTTTTTATTCTTAATTATGAAAATGTTTGGGTTTAAAATTTAACCGAACTGTTTAAATTCTAAACCCAACATATGTACTCTTTTTTTTTAAACTTGAAAGGTTTGTATTCCAAACTGAATTTAGTTTGGTCATATATGTATGTAGTCCAAAAAGTTTTAAATTGAAATCGAAATTTTTAACCGTGTAGTTGAAACCAGCCTACAAGAGTTCTTGAAAAATTTGGTGGACCACAGTACATAAACACCTACATATATTACTGAATGTCGATCCTAATCTGCAATATTAAATCGAAAAAACTAAAACAGACAAAATGGCCAGACACAATTCAAAATGAAATGAAAGAAAAATGGGGATCAAATAAAAGAATTGTAAGTTTTCAAGTTACTTATGGCTAATGCTGAATATAAACTCTTAAGTCCGGTCAAAACTGTAGTAAGATTTGGTGAAAGTATAGAGCGGATAATGCCGGTGTAAAGGCTTAATAATGAGTCTGCGAAGTGAAGAAGGGTGTCTGGGTATCTGAAAAAATGTATGCGGAGACGTATCGACATTTTACAAAATAACTGCTTTTCTGGTGGTTCCTATTTAAGTGAATTAATTAAAAAAAATCAATAAAGCTGTGCCAGGGGAAACCTTCTGCTAAACCGTACAATTTAAATCTGTGTTATCACTCTAATCCTTAACTTAATTTTTTCCCTTTAGACAAGAGCAAGCGTTGATGCCATAACTGTAGTTGAAGCGTTTTGCAATATATATAATCAGTACAATAACATCGTCTTATAAGTAACTGCATATTTCACAAACAATTTTCTCGTCTTTCTAGCTCTGCGATGTCTCATTGGAAGTGGGTGGCGAAACTATACAGGCGCACAAAGTGGTGCTTGCTTCGGTGTCACCCTATTTCTATGCCATGTTCAATGGTGAGTTGCAATATGTATGTAGCTTATGAAATATTTATTTACTGCTTACCTCTACTGAATACAAAGTACTCGTACATACTCAAGGCTATTTAAATATTTTTTCTTATTAAACCTACTTTTGTATTTTCTTTTCCAGACGACATGCTGGAGCGCAATCAGGGTGCCGTACGTTTGCACGATGTCGATGTTACGGCGCTACGTCAACTCATCGATTACACGTACACCGGTGAGATCACCATAACCGAGGACAATGTGCAGGTGTTGTTGCCCGCCTCCAGTTTGTTGCAAATTCATTCAGTACGCGAGGCATGTTGCAAATTTTTACTGCGACAACTGCATCCATCCAATTGCTTGGGTATACGTAGTTTTGCTGGTGAGTATGAATGTGTGTACGCAGACTTTACATAAGATTTCGGAATTTTGGAACTAAAACTTTTTATGGGTCGAAGAAAAAATTTCGTGTTAGAATTATGCATTTGCTTGCGCAACTTCTATGGCATAATTACATGAGTTAATAACTTTTGTGGGCTCCTTTCCCTTTGACGTAGCAAAAACGAGAGACAATTGTTGTAGTTTCGATGTTTGGAAAGTTTGAACATAAGTTTAACTTGCCAGTGTATTTCTGCCATGAAAAACGTACTCATAAAAAACTATAGGCACAAAGCAGGCGACCTAAAGCTGTGTGAAAACAATAGGGCGCATACCGCAAATATCGCACAAGGCGCATAGTAGGGAGACCATTAAAAGAACGAAATATGAAAAGTTGTTCATAGGATGTATAGAATATTCAAGTAGGTTGGTTGTGGTAGTTACTTAGAACCGTTATTTTTATCTTTCAGGTTCCGCCTAACAGATAACAAGATATCGTTTTTTTTCAGGCTGCGCATTTAGTGTGATGCGGCTATACAAATCCTCTGAAAAATATCGCTGAATTCAAAATTACTTGCCATTACTTCATGTGAATTTAACCGCTTAACCTGTTACACTGTCGAAGGCAGTTTACCATTGGCTGCTGGGCAACACTTCTTCACCGCCACTATGTTCCAGAGCTGCCTCGTCTCTGCAGTTGTTTCTGCGGCA